AAGTTTCCTGCCTGGACGTGCAGGTGAATGGTGGGAGGCTGAGGAAGGACAGTACTGGTGAGCCTTTTGCTGACTGACAGAGCAAATCAGGATGCCACTTTATGGCAAATGCCCTCAGTGTTTTTCACTTGAACACCTGAGTTTAAAGTTATTTAAGATGCAAGACAAAATCTCACTGATGCCTGTGGAGGGAGCTGCAGTAGGTCAAATATATATAGATTATTACAGAATGTGATATGAGGAGCACCTGGTCTGGTTTCCCCACAAAGTATTTTCTTCTATAATAACTTCTTGTCAGATGCTTGTAATTTTCCAAAGTATTTGTACAGGGAATTGAATTTTTTTTTGAGTTCTAAACTAGAGCTAACTCCTGGTGTTTCTGGATTCAGGGATGAAGAAAATGAGCAGAATGAAGACTGGGCCTCTTTTATCAATTTAACTTCTTAAAATTTCTTTAGGCGTAACAATATAAAACAAGCCGCTAGGTGAAACACAAGAAACACGCTATATTACTGAAGATATTTGTTGCACATTTTAAGCAGTGCATCACTACCATGTCACATCCATGCTTGTGGACTTGTGTCTCTCCTATGCAATTTTTAAATCATTTCACTCTGACATCTCCTGACAGCCCTAATCCAGCAAATCGCTTAAGCACCTGGATGGTCCGGTTGAGCTCAATTGTCACAGTGAAGATGTTTACTAGATGTCTCTGAAAATGCTTGAGTAGGATAATTATTTTGAAGGTTGATTATATACCTTTGAGTGTCTGGATTTACAGAGTATATTTGACCTTGAACCTAGGTTGATTCCTTTCTATATAAAGACCATTTTTCAATTACCTGAAGGGACAAATCTGAAGTTTATTATATGAAGGCCAAAAACCACCAGACATTATTATTTGTAAATGCTAGAAGTTATTTCAAAAGCAATATTGCAGGTTGAAGTAAAGGGAAACATGATAGAGGGACTAAGATTTTACTGGTTCCAAAGAGAACTGTGCTTTACTACAAAAATCCCCAACCCAAATCCAAACCTAAAAACCTTCCCAAAGTCTGAATTTTTCAAAATACCTTATTATTATACCAGAATAATATTTTAGTGCCACATACTGTCTTATTGCTGAGGTACTTCAAGAATTTCAGACTTTCAGGAGAGAGCACTTTTTCCCCTCCAAAATTGTTATCAGCTGTGAATCATTATCTAATGAATAGAGCAGTAGTCTAAACAATCAAAGTATATATGGAAGTGCAGTGGTATTATAGTTGTACTACAGTTACTATATGACACGTTCTGTACACGAGCTCTAAAGCTGAAACCCAAAGGCTCAGAAAAGGAAGTCTATTTATCCTATAATCTGGGTATCAAAAAGAAGTCATTACTTAAGAAAAACATATATTTAATCACTGTGCAAACAAATTATCCACATTTTTTGAAGAACTTAACTTTGAAATTCTTTTGCTTCAGAGAGAAAGTTTGCACTAACTGTGGACGGGTCGTATGAAGGAACCCGGACCCACACGCTGAGCTCCTGCCTCTGCCCAACCTCCCCAGCCAGGTTCCACTACATCAAATATAATCAGTTGGCACTCACTGTGGCTCTACCGCGGCGGAGGAGGCTCAGCAGGGTATGTGATCGCTGCTAATGTGTAGCTGGCTCTTTGCTGTGTATTTCTTTGGGGTTATCTAAGTCCTGAGTGTGTGTGCAGGTCTGTGCATGCAGGGAATTTGTAAGTGCATGTATGTAAATGAGGCAGGGCAGACTATTTTCTTTTTTTCCCCTTTTTGTATAAGTTAACTACCATTATTTTTTTTTACCCTTTTTTTTCAGTCTATATCAAGTCAAAATGAAAGAGATATGAATGAGTCTGTGACTCTACCTCTGAACTCACTTCCAATACAAGAGAAAATAACAATAACAGAGGTGAGAAAAAGTCTTTAGTAACTAAAACCCAGCCCAACACATGTTCAGTTTGGTGGGTGATAAGTCTCACAGTTCAGTGATTCAGTTCCTGTCAGACACAATGCATGCTACAGTATAAGGTGTGAATTACAATCACTCTGCAACTATACAATATCTTTTTTTTTTAAATTTTGTTCTGCATGTGGTTCCAGGCATGCTGTTCAACCCTGGTCTGAGTTTTAGAATAATTTCATCAGGACATATCTAATACGTTCATCAACATAGTATGCAAGCTAACAGTAATAGATATCACAATTAAGACTTATATTTGCAAAGGGAAAGCCTGAAGGTAAAACAAGAGAACATCCATATGCCTGTGGTTCAGATGACCAACTTTCAATGACCTTCCTAGAAAATGAAGGTTAAACTAGGTGTTCAGCTGTGAAAAACTGAGGGGCCCTAAGCCCACCTGGCTTGGGTGATCGACCTACTTGAATTGAACCCAGACTGTACTGGAGCTCATTGTATCTCAGACCATTGCTGGCCAGGTGCTGCACCTGTGTTGTGGACTGTGAGGATAATGAAACTCAGCCTGTAGATGGAGTCGGGGAGGAAGGTGCAGGATTAACGACCTGAGCATGCTTACACTGTTTGTATTGCGATTTTCAGGACAGGACAATTGACTTGTACACAAAGGCAAGTGAATGGTAAGTGAGTCTTCAGCAAGACCTGATCCTGTAACTGGGACACATGCACACCTATGCAAAGCTCATTTGAAATCAGCAGGGGTCCATGCAGGCTCAGCTGTAGGCAGAGGTGTGTTCATCTTTGGGTTCCAGGCTTTTTTTTTTTGCCAGATTCCCCTTTTTCAGTGATGGAGAATTAAATTATGGGTCCCCTTTCCTCCAAATTTCCAAGCTGCTAGTGCAGCTCAGTAAGTATATCTAAATTTGTGTGCCCAAAAATGGAGAGAGCAGCTCCACAAAGAAATCATATTTCTGTATTACACGAACGAAATGACACCAAGGCACGGTAGCTGTTTCCCTAATCAACTGCAGTGCCTGTTGCCAGTGGTTATCTAGTTACAGGCACGTCTGCCAGGCACTACTGAAACTTGAAAAATGAATTGTATGAGCAAATTAAACGAGAAGTGTTACCATACCAGGGCAGTATGTCATGTTGTACTCTGCCTTCCCATTTGCATTCTTGTTAGCAGCTACAGCAATTAGCAGAGGCCTGTCTGTGGTGTTGCTCTTTCTGATGTATTATTACATTGTAGTGTCCACAGACTGGTCTGTAAACACACACAAGTATAGCTGGAGTTGACTGTGGCGAATAATAATATAGTAATTTGTGCCCTGGTCTCAGGACTCAGGGTCTGTGTTTCAGGCCCAGAAACCTAGATGCCCGCCTGGGGTTTGACCTGTGCACGGACGAACAGAATTTCCTGCAAAACCGGAGGAAGGTGGTTGCTGCTGCGCTGAAGAATGTTCTTCATCTGGAGGAAGATCTGCAAGAGCATGAGGTAACCAGGAAAGGCACTCCTGGGTGATTTTTCTATCTCCTTTCCTTCAAGTCTGGAGATGAGGAGTGATTTCTCACCTCCATCCAGATGAGGACTGAGGACCTCTGTCAGCAGCTCGACCTCTAGGGAACTGTTTGCAGCCAGGGTGATCCTAACTGGAGAGCTCAACAGTCTGTAGGAGCAAAGTCTCTGTTTCCACTTGGCTTTCAAATGAATCACTGGAAGGAGCTTCAAATCTATTAATTTGGTCCATGTTTCTTAAAAATCCTTCTTGAAGTGCCAAGATCTTCTAGTATGTCCAGCAACTTGTATTATTTAGAATTTGAAGAGCAATGTTGCTTTATCTCTAGTATGTGTTTTATTTTACTGGTGTCAGGATGTTGCTTTTGGATGTCTGCCATCTTTTGACATGGATGTACATTAATGCCACTTTTCCACCTGTGCTTTCTGCCCTTTTTTGTGTTGAACAGGTGCCAATAGTCGCTGTGACCACAGCAGGGTGTGGGATAAGAGCACTCACTGCCATGTACGGCAGCATGTTGGGTCTTCAAAAGTTGCGTGTTCTTGATTGCATTTCATACATCAGTGGCTCATCTGGCACAACATGGTGAGGAGTCATTTTGATGCTGTTGTTTGGATCTTGTTATGTTAAGCAAAACTCATGCTTTGTCTAGGGTTTTTGATCTTGGTGAAGGTAAAGATGTCTATGGAGTTATTGTTTCCATCTTTGTTCTATGAATGCCAGGCTCAACCATGAAAGAGCTATTGTGCATTATATATTTGGCGTCCCTAACCAGAAAAGGAGACTTTATTGAAAGTACAAATAAAATGATCCTTTATTGTTATTTACTGTTGAACAGAGACAGCACAGACAGCTGGTGTAACTGCTTGTGTTGGATCCCAGATTAAGTGATTTTTGACTGATTGCCTTTAGACTTGCATTTCTGCTTAAAGAGGAGAGTAGCTTAAAGATAAAACAATAAGTGCCTACAGCTCTGCAAAGTATATCCTTTGAGTTTCAAAAATGTTTTCTTCACATCTTTCCACTTTCCATCATGTTTCCTGCCTGCAGGACCATGACAAAACTGTATGAAGATGCTGACTGGTCACGTAAGGATCTTGGAGAAGTAATTATTGAAGCTCGGAAGCAAGCAGCCAAGTGCAAGATGGGCGCTTTTTGCTTGAGAAGTCTGAGGAATTATTATAGAGAGCTGAGCCAAAGGACCCAAGCAGGACATAAAACATCTTTTATTGACCTGTGGGGGCTCATGATTGAATCCATGTTAAATGATGGGGTAATGTCTATACATTTTTCTTCTCATAAAGTTGGTGACTTGATCTTTATGACCATTATGAGACATTGTACTTGGTATGTAGGCAGAACACCACTTATTTATATTAATAACATGGAGACATAGCATATGTCTACACTGGAGCTTAAAGTGTGATTGAATGTAACACTCAAATGCTCAGACTAGCTCTAAAGTAACTAGCATGCAAATTAACATCGTAGCTAACCAAGAAATTTTTGAGGTTCTTAGGTGTTTTTCATGTTCCCATGCTTTTATGTCTTTGCTGCTGCAGTATCTATATGAGCTGCAGTCATACCTTGAATGTACTGCAGATGTACCCCATATGCAGTTGCTGCACTTCTCATTGGCACTCAGCAGTAGGACGAGAAGCAATGGGCACGAACTGCAGCATAGGAAGTCCCACCTGAACATAAGGAAGAACTGCTTTACTCTGAGGGAGACTGAGCACTGGAACAGGTTGCCCAGAGAGGTTGTGAAATCTCCATCCCTGGAGATATTAAAAAAAATAATCTGGACAAAATCCTGGTTCATGTGCTCTAGGAGTCCCTGCTTGAGCAGGATGGTTGGACTAGATGACCCTCAGAGGTCCCTTCCAACCTCAACCGTTCTGTGATTGTGTGATTTAGTGATGAGAAAATATATAGATCCAGAGCTCCTGAGACATCTTAGCTACAGAAACTGATTTTGCAGGTGCCCTTCATCTACTTTGGATTTGATCTCTCAGGACTTCCTTCCTGTTCCTAACTTTGTTGTAATGACACAAGCAAAACTTTCCATGTAAACTAGAAAACTGATGGAAGCTGGAGAAAAAGCTGTTTTATTTTAAAATCTTGTAAACATGGTTTATATTTTGTCTAGGTGAAACAGATAAAATGAAATACTCTCATTTCATGTTATATTTCACATTGTAATTCTAGCCTCAGTGCTACATAGTAAAATTTGCTAGAATTTAATTTGGCTGAAATCCCTATTTTAGTTGTTAGTATTGGACAGCTCAAGGATTTTTCCTCTGTGGATGTTAACTTTCTATATGGTTTAAAAAAATCTTGACTAAAAGGGTCATTAACATGCTGTCTTGAAGAACTCATGTGTTAACAGATGAAGAATGTGATAACAGCTGAATTACCCAGATCTTCCCTATTTTTTCACTTGGATTTAACAATGCAAAGTTAGAATGGCTTGGGAAGCTACTCATTACTGTCTTTGAACACAGAATGTAGAGCATGGCTGATTATTTTAATGACAATTATTCCTGTTCCCACAATTTTATTGCCCTCTGTTATTTAAGCACATGGAAGTAAATTTATGAGGAAATTAAGGAAAATTATATATTGTATTCAGCCTTTATAAGCTGATGTCTTTAAGAAACTGATTATCAGCTAACTGCTTTTTTTTGTTTGTTTGTTTGTTTTTTGGGTTTTTTTTTTCCAAATCCAGAAATGCCACCACAGACTTTCTGATCAACGTCGGGCAGTGAATCAGGGTCAGAACCCACTGCCCATCTACCTTGCCCTCAATGTCAAGGACAAAGTTACCACCAAAGATTTTAGAGGTAATGTTTCAATTCAGGGAAAAGAGTTATGTTTTCACAAGGGGAGACACAGCATGGAGATACTGTAAATAGTGACAACTTGTTTTAAATTCGCACTCCAAGCCAGGAGAAGTCCTGTTCAGACCTGTAAAGAGTAACTGGGCAGCCACAGGATAGACAGAAACAGTTCAGTATTTTGTAAGATCTCCTGGCATATAAGTGTGTGTATGCAGACATTCACTTCAGACTGATAACACAACATAGATCTGTGACACAGTCTCAGGAGTGCTATGAATTCTTAAAGAAAGTGTTTCACTGGAGCTTTAGGTTTGCTTAATGTATTATTTTTCATGGTTGGCTAAAGGCAATAAAAGCAATATAAATCAATCTGCGTTCTAGTCCACCTTCCATGAGAAAACTTTCCACTTGCTAGGTAAAAAGAAAGAAAGATTTAAATATTCCCTTAACCTTGACATTGTTCTTTCACAAACCTGTAGACAGTGCGATAGCTGGTTCAG